TATCCAAAGTTAGTCAAGGAACCACACCCTTTGCATCCTTAATGCTTGCAAGGAAATACCATTAGGAAATCAGAGAGCAGATTGATCATTCATGTCAGGATTCCATGTTGTAGAAAATGCAACTACAGTATCAAATACATCTAAGATCCGAAGAGTAAAAAGGAATGTTTAACACTCATTTTAAGAGTCAAAACCCTCTTACATTATGTTTCTAGTTTACCTGAGGCCTATTTCATTAGAACTCTAGGCAAGTCCCATCTTGATAAAAGCTCTAAAGTGGAATAAGCTGTCATGCCCCAGAGTGCAACAGAGAACTCATTCACTCTTCATTTTATCTTCCGCTGACTCAACTAACTAGTTTGAGACAATCCTAGGGCTCTCTCAACAATGCCTCCACAACTACTACTATCTGCTCACAAAAGTTGTCCTCAGATACTCTGCTAATTTTGAGGAACTTCAGGAAATTAATTAGCAACACGAACCAGTCTTTTTCCTTCCCTGACCCTGGAATAGCAAGCATTTGATTCACCTATTCTTTCACATCATAATACGTTTCTGACTGTAGTCATTCTAAAACTGACTTCCATCCATACCAATTCCAAAATTCAGGTCATATGGAAGAATATATTTTGTAATATTCAGGGCTTTATCCAACTTTCAGTTGAATACACTTAGCTAAGCATTCTCTGAGAAATGTGACATCTGCAATACAAAGGACACCAATTCAAAGGAAAACAAGGACAACTGAGAGGACATTTGAACTCTACATAATTAGCAGGTAAAAAATACCACACATTTCTGCCAAAAAGATGCAGAGTTGTCTGAAACTAGGAACAATTCCCCTTAGGGCTGAGAGACTTCTGGAAGCCTTTGCCCTATCAAAGAACAGTATGGCCAAGTGAATGGTGCTGCAGAGAGCACAGGCAATTGGAAAATTCCCAGAGAGATTAGGAGGTTCTCTCTAGGGCAAAGATAATGGGATGAGAGATTAGAGGACGAATGGAGCAAAGTGAAGGAAGGAAAATCTAAACTTCTTTAATTTATGACATTTCTACAACACAAGAAACTGACACATGATGACATTCATCTTCTATTTATGGAAATATTTCATACTAATAACACTGCCAAAAACCCTAAAAAGCGTGGGGACAACTACAATAAACAACTGAGTAAGCCAAGATCACAAAAAATGAAACACACTTGCTTCTTAGCCTCACCTCTGATCATCTGTGCTTCTTTTTAAACCCATCTTTTCTTCTTATTGACATCATCATTGTTTTTGTAATTATATTTGAATGTTTTTGTAAAATGTAAGTCATTTCATTTCTTTAAAAAAATCAAATGCCCCACTTGATATTAGAAGTATCTCCCTTTTTCCTACATAGTCTAGAATGAAAGGTCCCATTTATTAAGTACTGTACTAGAAACATACCAAGATTTGACACGAAATAAATTTTAGGAAGGTATTCCCAATAAAGTGAAATACCAAGGAATCTATTTAAAATTGAACTAAGTCGATTTTATAAAAATGCTAAAGCCCAAATGTTCAAATGGAACCTTAATGCTACAAAGTCTGTGGTGATAACTGAAGTCTCTCTTAGAATATTTGACTTTCCAAAGTCCTAATAATCTGACCTAATTGAGCTTTACCACTTTTAATGAGAAACACTAATACTACCCTTTAGGAGTTCCCTCACGAAGTCAAAGATAGGGTGTTATCTTCAGTGGTTTAATTCATTTCTATATCACCTCACCAAAGAGAGCTTTCTTAAATAAATACAAAGAAGTCCCACTAAGAAGCCAGTGTGGTAATATCCAATTTGAATTCTCTATCAGAAGATGTGCAATTACATTTCAGAAAGGAAAGCAGCCTTCTATTTTAACTTGCATTGTATTCTTCCTAGCAGTCATGCATAGGAATGATGATGATGTTAAATCTAATTAGACACAGATTTACTATTTTCCCTATTGCTTTCCCATATTGCTGATATTATAAATAATACGTGCTTTAAAAACTGTAATAGGCTCCTTGCAGCTACCAAATTTAAAATGCCAGAAATCTATTTGTTCAGGGAAAATTGCTTCTAAGAGTCTGTGGAACTAGAAGAGATACTTTTACTGTCAGTGAAAAGTCACTGCTGTGGACCAGCATACAGCCCAGCGGTAAAGAGGTCTGGAGTCAGACTCTCATTAGAATCTTGGCTTTACTACCCACCAGCTCTTTGAGTGACCTTGGACAAATTACTTAGGCTTTTAGCCTCAGTTTTTCATCTGTAAAGTAAGGACAATAATCTACAGTCCTAACAGTTATTGTGATAAGGAGATAATAAATATAAAGCACTCGAAATAGTACCGGCATTTAAACCTTAAGAAATGGTTTTTTTTTACTATTTTTTATTCGTTTTTACAGTTAAATGAAACTGCTCAGCCAAGTAACTAGAATAACAGCTTCTCCAAAAGACATCAGTTGACTAAATTGTAATTGAGATTACTCTTTCTGTACAAACAGCTGCTATTTATATCATAAATGTCCTCCCACAATGCAAACTCTATAGACTTCTAGCACAAAAACAATGATAATCTGTCTTTCAAATACATTAAAGTCCCGTATACAAGAAACTACAGTACAACCAACCAATACAGATCCAAGTTCAGCAGCCAAAGCAAGATAATCATTAGCGTATTATGGTTTTAGAGTAAGAAATTCAAAATATTTTCTACAGTATAAGAAAATGTTCACACTGGCTATTTAACACTTTGGATCCCTTTGGGAATCTGATAAAAACTTTAGACCTTGACCCTAGACAAACATGTAGATACACATAACTGTTTGATTTCAGGAGGTTTGTGGTATACCTTCCCCACACTCATTCACAGAACCAGGTTAAGAATTTTTATTTCATTTACTTCTCAAGTTTGCATGGTTTTCAACTATTTACCACTTGCAATCTCAAAGGGCAATATATTATGATGTAATTTTTATTCTATTTTGTTAAGGAAAAATGGTATCATACAATACAAACAGCATAATACATTGTGGCCACAATGACTTAACCTCATTTTCATGTATTTTTATTCTTAAGAAGTAGATTATAACTATTCAATACAACTGATCTCCGAATTTGATCAAGCAAAAATTCTAGGACACATTTTCTCAGCTTTCCTTGTTATATGATGGTGCTAACCGGACAATTTAAAGATCGTCATCACAAAAAGAGCAGTAGCAATTGCATGCTAAGCAATAAATTACACTGTTCTCAATCCAAGACACTTTCAGAGATGAATTTTCCTTTAGACTAAAAATACTTTGGTACAGATGCTGTAAGAAAAAAATATGATAAGGTTGGCAAGAAATGGTGGGCAAGGTGAAAGAGAAGGACAGAAAAGGAACTATGGAAAATCTGTATTGACACCTCTATCACGAGTAAAAATATCCCCTGGATGACAAAACTATTGAAACATACTATCAAATTGCCTAATGCTGCCTGAATTAGTCCACATACCTGATCACTATAAAACCTTAATATACCTTAGGGTAATGTATATATTTTAAAAACAAAGATATCCAAATCCATCAAGAAATGGCTCTACACTCCCTTGAGGAATTTCCTAATGTTGTAAGTTTTTATAAAAATATTTAATGAGCAACAGAAGTGCTTACTGTGGCTGTGTCAGACACAGGAATTAGTATTTAAATTACTTGCTGTGTTTTTTAAACAAATGTTATTAAAAAGAAATTTTCATAGGTTAACTTTTTTGTTTATGCCCACATTCTCTCACGAAGACTTAGGAGTTGCTTACACAAAGACAAAGACAAATACCACCAAAGGATAAAATAAATGTTAAGAAAAGCTGATAAAATGAAAATGAAGTTAAGATATAAATGCTAGGGTTCAGATTAGTCCATGGGAAGGCAAACCACCTGGTCCCACCCAGTTTCTCAAGCTGGGTTCCTATCAGCATAAACCACTAAGGGAAGCAGGGTCTACCTTAAAGGCTGGCAGTATCCAAAGAGACAAGTACGCCATCAGTACAACTTTCGGTACATTTGTTTCTATCACTTTGAAAAATGTAGTTAATGTTACAACCACCCTTTCTATCAACAATGATTAATGATACATGTTTACAAGATGTAAAGTTAACTCATATAAATGTATCCACTTGCCCAAAGGACAGACAACAAGCCCCAAAACTAAGGATCTGGATTATTATAAACAATTTGCTGTTGCTCTACTTTGGTTGTAGTTTGGACCATAATTTCAGTAGCTTTGAAAGAGTAACTTATGGAGAAATCTGCCATATATGTATAAATACTCCAGAAATTACATAAGGCCCAGAGAAGTCAAAGAGTATAAGAAAAGAAACATTATGCAACAAAATAAACATTCAATTTCAAAATAAACACCCTCTGAGAAGCAGGCAATAATAAATGACTTCAAATTGAAACAGGCAGGACTTATGTCACATATTAAAACAATTACAGGAATGCATAGACTATCAGTATTAAAATAATTATTCTATAAATTCTTTGCTGAAAATAATAATAAAGAGGAAAATATACATTATACATCAATAAAGCTGAAAATGAAGATAAATAATAAATAATTAAAAAGAAAAACATACAGTGGCCTTCCTTACATTTTTAAAAACACATGTGACCCTGCCTCGAGGGTGGAGGATCAAAGCTATCTTCCCCGGTCACTCCACGCACTCTCCAGCTAGCATGTCAGCAATTCGAGTTTAAAAAACAGATCACACAATCACCACATTAAGTTCTTCATCAAACAATGAGGAAGCCCTCAATACATCGTAAAATAATATAAAATACTTTATATTGTAAGACAATATATACATTCTAAAATATAAAACCCTGCTCTAAGGCAAAAACATTTGATTTGATCAAACTTTACTCAGAACTTTTGTCCACATAAAATTTAACTGAAACTACACAAGTCAAATGGGCAATATGTAGAATGCATTAACATTCTCTCTTCACTTACCTGGTCTTTCTCATGGGGAAGAAGACTGACAGGTGGAAGCGAGGATGGGAAAGCACTGGGATATTTGGGAGCCCCTTTGCCATCTGAGCTCCCATAATTGACCCTGTACTGCGGTCCGTCTTTCAGTAACCTCCCATTGTTCACTGCACGTTTGGCCCCCAGTCGCAGCCGCTGCTGAAAGGCTGGGTTGTTGGTGGTGCTTGTGAGATCATTTTGACTTCTGAGATACTTCTCTATGTTCTTCAGGGAGGAGCCATTTGGCTCCTCAAGTCCTTCAATTGCTCTCCTTAAAAGTTTATTCCAATCCACATTACGGAGATCATTACATGTTCCTCTGGACCCCTTGGTTGACTTAGGAAAAGTGCCTGGTTTAATTGATGAAAAGCGCCCAGGGTTGTCTGGGTCCTTATAGGAAGCAAGGCCTTTGTTGGTGACTTTGAGAACTGAGCCATCCTGAACACTGAGCTCCAGCTGTTCAGAGACTGTCTTCTTATCCAACCCATGGGAAGTACTGACTGCATGGCAGATTCTCTCCTCAGAGGGCCTTTGCTTTTGCTTTTTAATTTTCTGTATAGCTTCAAGAATCCACTCTGTATAAAGTGGGTTTGCAAGTTTTACCATGGTTGACAAATGACTTCTTCAATACAAAAGTTACCCATAGAGGTTCTCCTTGTATTTAACAGAACTTGCACATTTAAAAGTCATTTACAATTTAACGAATGGGCAGAGTATTCCAGAACACAATAAGCAACATCTTACAAACATCCATCCATCCTTAAGAGATTAAAAAGAGATATAACAGGCAATGTTGATAGTTGTCTTATTTGACCAACAGGAAAGACTGCATTTGGGTGAAGAACATCTTTAAGTAGGAAATCAAGACCTTGAAGAATAAAAAGGGGAGAAGGCTCTTAATAAAGGGACTTCTAAAAATAAATTAAAAGACTCTACAGTATTACTTTTTCCAATGCAAAATGACCCCAGAAGTAATGACAGGCAAGTATTATGTAACCAACTCTCACTGACAATATTTTCCAAACAGAAATTGGGTCTCAGTCTGAGAAAGAACTTTTTTTAAGACTTTTCACTTGTTATTTACATGAGGTCACTTATGGGGCACTTGAAAGATCACAACTAAGTTACATGTTTAATGGATAACCTTTACTGAAAGTAATAAAATTACACGAAAGTGGTTCAAAATACATCTATCATAAACATAAAATCAACACCAAGAATAAGTCTATGATACAAAAAGTCTGATGGAAGTAACTTAAACTTAACTTTAAGAAATTTTAAATATAAAAAAGAACAATAATCCTGATTCTTCTATTTCAACTAGATATTTCTCAAGCCTCACACATAAGAAAATTTCCCATCTAGCCACTTCTATAGAATCATATCCTCCCATCCCTTTAAAGAGTCTGTGACACTTTCTAACCCACAGGTTGGAAAACTGAAATGAATATAGTAACATAACCCTTTACCTTTTAAATAATGTAGCATTTTAGGTACCTTACTACCCAGTTAACTCATGAAACTCAGTACATGCAAGGTTCACACAAATCTGATTCCAGGCAGACAGTGGTGCTGCTCTGTGAGAGCCGCTTGGTATACACAAGAACCATTCTGGACTTCTAATCTCGTCTTAAGTGTACCTGCAAAGAGCACCTGGCCTAGGAGTTGGGTCAAGTCTGGGCTCCATCCACATCTTAACTCTTTTTATAGTTTAAAGTTTAACGCTGTGCTCCCATATAACTTATCATTTGTCTCCAGGACAACACTATGGAGAGACTGAGGCTAAGGGGAAGCTGGAATTCACTCAAGGTAACAGTCAATAGTTGACTTAAGGCTCAAACGCCATTATTCTAAGTCTAGCACTATCTTTACTGAGCCACAGTTGCCTGCTCTAGCTAGTTCTTCCTCTGCCATCAGACTAACCGAATGAATGCCAGCTCTACCAATGTCTAAGAAAGAAACCCTGGGTAAGTGACTTACGGTTCAGCCACTTCATCTGTAGGGTAATAATAACATATCTCTCACAGAACTATTGAGAAAAATAAGTGAGCATAGTATCTAATATTTGATATACAGTCATCACTTCCATCAAATGTGATATCTACACACTGAAAAATGTCTCATAATATATAAAATTAAAGTCATCTCTGGTTATTTATTGATTTAATGTACCTTAAAAAGAAAATTACTGCTTTCCTCAAAACTTTAGCCAGATATCCTGAAAAATACAACATCTGTTCGCAAAGATTCTATTGCTGAATAACAGCTGAGCCACTGACCCATATATTTATTCAGTCAGCTTGAAAGCTGCCATTTAAAAAGGACTGTCCTCCTTGCAGTAGACTGTATGTCCACTTCATTCCCCCCCCCCCTCAGATTCAGAAACTTGTGGCTGAAGGGACTGTTAGAGGTCAGTCAGCCCAACCTTTACTTATCCCGTAAGAAGATCCCTTGTTTAATATCTCCAACAGATGGACCATGAAGTCTCAAAAGTGATTGAGAATTTTTCACTTTTTCAGGCAGCTCACTCCACTACTGGACAGCTCTAGTTGTAATATATTTCTTGTTCAAAGGAGCCAAAAATCTGCCTTCCTGTAATTTCTACCCAGTAGTCCTAGTTCCTATGGAACGATCTCAAGAATTCTTAATATTCTTTAATATGACAGGCCTTCACATATTTGAAAACAAGTATCTTTTGAAAACCACTACAACCAAAACCAATTCTACCTCCAGCCTCACTTTAGACCATTCACATCCCAGTTCCTTACCACTTCGACATATCACATGGCTTCCAAACACCTCTTTCTTTATTGCTCACTAGTGGCTCATGCCCATCTCAAAATCTGGCAGTTCAGGCATTATCCAACTATAAATACAATCCAAGGTTACAGGAACTTTCTTAACAGGCATGCCATACAACTGGCTATGCTAAGCATGCAGCCCAACTAAAAATCCCAAATCTTCTTTCAAAACTGCTGTCAAGCTGAGTCTTTCCATTCCCTTCCTTTTGCAAATTTAAATGCTGAGATTTAAATTTTATTACAGTTCAAGTTCATTTTGTCAGTTTGAATCTATCTTCCAACCTATTAAAGACTGTTTTGTTTGATCCTATCATCAGTGTCTATCTGCAAATATAATAAGCACGTCCCTCTGTGCCATTGTATAAATCACAGACTTGGAACATGGTGTGTCTAGGAATGAAATCACAGTGCAACCACTTTCATGGAAAAACACCAGAATCATTCTGTATTAGAAAGCTTAGAACAGGAAGCCGATCTTTCCGAAGTAAAATGGTTTGGGGCAAAATTTCATCAGAAGACATTTTACTGTGTCCCAGTAATTATTTTATCTTTCATCATTAATTCAGGATGAATCAACTAAAATAATTTGCACAAAAATACAAATGGAGGAGCAGGAAAAGCGGTCACAGAAAAGTATTCAGTACTGCAAAGTTGCTTTCAGGCATCTTGGTTACAAAAGCAAATGAACACAGATTAAAACAAAACATAGACCATAACTAATAAATACCCAGAATATACCTTCATGACAAGCTGTTACCAGAGTCCTTACCCACAATCAAAAGTATCATTCATATCCATTACCAACACATTTCAGTAAGACTGACATTTTATAGAAAAATATAAGAAAATAAGGGAAAATACCAGAATTGGAACTCCTAATGTTTTAATAGTTCATGACAGAAAAAGAAGATTGTCCAGATCTTCAGGAAAATCTGCCAAAAGAAAAAAAAGTAAATGTTAATTTGGGCACAAGGACATCCCTTAAATTCAGCAACCAACTATGGCTCTCCACAACTATTCAATATACTCAGCTACAATGAGTTTATTAGTATTGGGTTGACCAAGAAGTCAATTTATTTTTTTCCAAACAATGGCTCTAGTAGTGCTTAGTTGTCTTTAACTTCATGCAAAACTATTTTGTTAGACTGTATTGTGACAGCTGTTATATTAGCATGCATTTTTTTAAAAAACATCGAAATTGGTGAATTTTTGTGCAGCCATTGTAATACATAAGATGGAAGAAAACACACATTTTCAGTGTATTATGCTTTATTACTTCAAGTAAGGTAAAAATGCAATTGAAATGCAAAATAAAAGACTTGTGCTACGTATGGAGAAGGTGCTGTGACTGATCAAATGTGCTGAAAGTGGTTTGCAAAGTTTCTTGGTACTACTGACATTTCAGTCAAATAATCCTTTGCTGTGGGGCTATCTTATGCACTGGAAGATGTTTAGTAGCACCCCTGGCTTCTACCCATTAGAAGGCAATAGCAGGAGATAGCTGATGCACTCAAAATATCCAAATCAATGAAGTTACTGGTAAAAAAAAAATGAAAGATAAGTCTTTTATTTTATAGAAAAAACTAAACAGACTTTTTGGCCAACCCAATACACTACCTTTGGTGATGCATTAACTCTTCCAATTACTAAAGCATAATTAAGAACAGGGAATTCGGGAAAGGAAATGAAGCCCCAAAGCAAGTGACTAAAAACATAAATTCTGTTCTTAAGGCCAGACCTGCTCTTCAAATGTTAGAAATCAGTTTATGATAGAGCCTAAGAAAGAATCTCACCAAGCAAAAAAATATCCTGCTGTTACTCAAATAGCCAGGCAAGTATAACATTTTATCTGGAGTGGGGAGGGGTGGAGGTGAGGGTCAAACATTGTTTAAAAGTCAGTATTAACTTTCCCAGGCAATTTTCACTATTTGTCCCAAAGGTCACCTGGCATCTAGGTACTGACTGATATCAAGAACAGGCCTATAGCTGAGCCTAAGAGAAGGACGCACAAGTTTCCATTGGAGGACAGTGATCATTTTTACTTCAAAGGCAAACACTGTGAATAAGTTTAAAACAACACTGAATAACTGCATGTTGATCTTATACAAAACCAAGCAACCTCAGATCCTCCTTTCCCCTCCCCCAGCCGCAGGCACACACCCCACTCCTCAATTTAATCTCAAAATTAGCTCTCACCTGACACCAACTAACAGCTAATTAGGCAGAAGCAGATGTAACTCAGCAGCTCTCTGCTACAAGCAGAATCAGTGTTAAAGACACACACACCTACTTAGGAGAGGAGCAAAATCAGAAGTCTCTTTTCTGTAGCCAATTCTCAACTAAACACATGTATATCATCCACTGCAAGTTTTTTAATCTTAGGCTGGTTTGTTTCTGACTCCACTGGCTCCACTGTAAATTGGTGTACCCTAAGAAAAGAGATTGAACACCAATTTAATTTTGGTCTAAGCAGTATCTAACTAGAAAGACAAATCTACAGGAAAGAAAATGCATAATTCATTACAAGACAAACAGAAATGCTTTTTTTCCTCCTGATTTGGAATCATCTACACGGCTTCTCTTTTTAGAGCACTAGGGTTTGTATCACATGTAGACAGGATATTCTATCAGTACAACCCCAAAAATCATTATTCTCCTTTCATTTTTCTATAAAAACTTGAAAGTTTACCAAAAGGCTATCAAAAAGGGAGTGAATCATTCCAAAGTAATTCTGGGGACTCATACTACATCAAATTAAATTATTCTATCTTCTGAGGTTGTGAATCATTTTATTTTTAACTACCAAATAATATCAGTAAATTATATGGTTGTATCATACAGCCTTATAATAAAACACTATTTACACCACTCATTAGAAACCATTCTAAACAGATCTAGAGAAATGCTTAGTCCAACACTAAGCTTTTGGCTTCATTAGTATTATATAAATATCAACACTATTCAGAGATATTCATGTCAGCATAAGAAGAGTCAAAATACCCTGGATCATAAATATTATGTGAAGCTTACTCCAAGCTTTTACTAAAGCTATGTGTTGTTCAAAGCCAATGTCATAACACTCGAGTCATGAGATTATGGATGAGCCAAAAACAGTGGTAGAAAAAATAAAGATTAATAAGAGTCTACTTTTTTTCATCCCAAGTTGTACTTGCTAGAAGTTATTTTTAGCTCTCACTTTTATATGCTCCTGGATTTTTTCATAGCCTATTATGTAACTGAGTGAGGATTCACAAATCTTAACAGTATCTTCTGAAACAGAAAATACACTGCTTAAGGAAAAAGACATTAACTGCTTCTATAACCATCTAGTACAGACTATTGGCAGTTGCTCAAAACAGCATCCTCTCTCAACAAATATCTGCTGTCGGACAACATCAAACATCCATAGGTGATAGCTGTTAACTTTCGGGTCCTAGATGCATCTGTTTTCCCTAAAATTACTGCTCGAGGCCCAGAACATGTGAACTGGGAGGTAAGGTCATAAACACTAATCAAAACAACCAACAAATACCTCTGGAGATGCTGGTCTGGAGGGCAGTCCCACGGTAGCTGCTATGGGGATGAGGCACAACTAAGCACTGTCTGGTGGCTTCCCCCAAAATTAAACATAAAATTAACATGACTCCACAATTCCACATCTGGGTATACAACCCAAAGAAATAAAAACAGGTACTCAAATAGTAAAAGTACACACGTTCATGACAGCACTATTCACAACAACTAAAAAGCCAAAACAGCCCAAATGTCAACCAACAGAAGCACGGGTCAACAAAATGTGATAGACAGACAGATAGATAGATAGATAGATAGATAGATCCATGCACTGGAATATTAGTCAGTCATAAAAAGGAATAAAGTATACACTAATACATGCTATAATGTGGATGAACCTCAAAAACATGTTGTGAAAGAAGTCAGACACAAAAGGTTATGAACCATATAATTCTATTTATATGACACATCCAGAAGAGATAACCCCATAAATAGAACATAGATCAGTGGGGCCTGTGGAGGAGGCGGAGGGGTTTATTTGGGATTGATGAAAATGTTTTGGAACTAGATAGAGATGGTGGTTGCAAAACACTTTGAATATACTAAATGTCACTGAATTGTTCACTTTAAAAAGGCTAGTTTTATGCTATATGAATTTTGCCTCAATAAGTTACTTTTCTTAAGAAGCACTAAATTTTAATAATACAAACCATTTTCTGACAAGTATTGTGGACCAGTTACTTTCCATATACTATCAATAAACCTTAAAATAACCCTGTGGGGTAGCATTTTTTTTTACAAATGTTTGAGACCAAGCATCTCTGTCTTGCTATGGAATTGTGCTAGACAGAGATAGTTATGCATCAATTGTTTTAAAGAGGGGGAACGACAATAAAACACTTCAGTTGTATTGTAACAGTACCTGCATAGCATTGTTTTGCAAAAGAAAAATGGACACCAGGCCACTGAGTCCTGAAGGATTATGATTCAGATGTTAAAACCTACACTTTCCCCCTCTCTCCACTGGTTTTCAAACTGGGATCCCAGGATCTCTTGTGAGAAAGTGCCCCATGTGGGATAAACACTGGGGCCACCACCCCTGCACCAAAGCAAGCACCTCCACCTTACCTGTTCTGTCTATAGTGGGCTTCTCCATAAAATTTATTCTGAAGAAAAAGTTTCCTCTGATTACAGAAGGAAAAAAGTCTGGAAAAAACTGTGACTCTACCTTGCTCAGTGTGAATGAGGAGAACACCCCTTGGACGGATGGGACTTAAACTGGACCTTGAAAGACAAGGCAGAACTTGGATCGCAGCCTGGTCTCTTCACCCACATTCAAATCCTTTATGGCCCAACGCAGACAACACCTTCTTAGAAGCTCTAGTGTTCTTTGTCTAATAGGAAGCTAAATAGGAATTTAGCTTTCTTAATATTTTGGCATTTATTTTCTGCTTTGTGTTATGCTTATTTGTGTACTGACCTCATCTCCCTTACTAGACTATATAAAATTCTTTTAAAAAGGACTGTTTGATTCATCTTTGTATGTCCCAAGATTTCCCAGGCCCACAACTTGAATGTAAGAGGGGTTCATTTCCTATTTGTTAAATGAACAAATCAGTGAATGAATGAAGGAAATCTAGAAAGCACAGAAGCTGAGAATGAGCTGTCAGACAGAGGGACACTAAGTCCATGTGCATGCCTACCGAGGGTATGCATTACAGGTGAGTAAGAAACAAAGTTGGCCATGACAAAAGCTAGGCTGAGGCATGTGAACACAATGGATGAGGTGATAAAAAGCCACTGCAGGAGCAGTGACACAGTAGGACATAATGGAGTACACAAGTGCACATGCATGCAGGTGCACACACTATTGAACGTTTGAATCGCTCTGGGTCTGGTGCCCACCCAGTACAGGTTGGAGGAAAGGATAACTGAAGGAACAAACAAAAGCAACAAGTATTTCATTTCTTCAAACATCAATCTGGTTCAACTTGTAAGTCTAACTCAGCAGCAAGCCCAGGATAAGCACTCAACAAATGTTAGCTAAATTGAATCCTTAATTCCCCATCTTTTCAGAATAATGCTAAATTCTTTCTCACTACTCATTAACATAAAGAGTTTTTTAATTCATAAGCTAATAATGTTTCCCAAGGATTTCCAAAAGGCTAAATCACCATGAAAATTATCATTTCAACTAATACATATTATATTAATTGGAAGTTTAATTTTTCATGTCATGCTCTCCTAGTTGACAATATCCTTGTTATGTCATTAAATGATAATTGTGTAAATCTGCTTCAACAAACAATAACTGAACCATCAATAAACTATTATGGCTTCTATAATCCCTAGCAAAGATTAGTTTCAACATCATCATCATAAATTAGTACAGACATGTCCCAAATCTCCTAGTGAAGCCCATGAATTAGGTCTGCATAGTCACCCCTGCATTTAAGTGCTCAATAGCTTGTCTCTAAAGTTTAATCACACTGTTAGGAACCTCACAGGAAATTTGATCCCTGGTAAAACAGAGGATTTTAGAAGCAAGATGAAAAGTCATTTAAAGTCATCAGGCCTTTGGAGCCAGGATACACTGATTAGTAATGATGATATTATAACTAAGCACTTTCGCTTAAGAAATAATCAACTAAATTTACAGTCTTTTTTTCCTTTGGCATTTACAAAATTCCCATTCAATCCTAGATTTTGTCCTCATCACAAATTAGCTTCAGCTGGGTTTTAGTGACAAGGACTGAGAATATATTAAGAAAAAAATCTAACATCTAAATTTGTGAAAGATGATCTTGAAAACACAGATCATTTAACTTTATCACAGATGTCTTCAAACAGGATAACCAGTACAGCCTGGAAACAAAATAGGGTTCCCCTTTGAGACTCTCAAGAAAATTACGGATCTAGTTTTTTAAATGAACACATGTACATACAGACATTTGCAGACAATTTCAAGGGCTTTCAGAACCTCTCTTGCCCATCCAAGAGGATCCCTTGAGGTCCACTGTCTACACTAACTACCCATTTTAAATTTATTTTTTTTATACACAGAGAGATCAATAATTTTATCCAGTTTTACAATACATAATTATCTCTATGTGCTTTAATTAGGACACGTTACACTAAAAGTAAAACTATTTTCATCGCTTTGGTTTTGTTTTTGTTTTTTAGAGAGAAGGAGGAAAAGAGAGAAACAACAATCTGTTGTTCTACCTATTTATGCACTCACTGCTTGCTTCTTATATGTGCAGAGTGGGGATCAAACCTTGACACATCAGGACGATGGGCTAACCAACTGAGCTACCCAGCCAGGGCCCCATCGATTTGGGGTGTTATCAAATAAGCTTCTGAAATCTTATTCCACAAGGATGTGTGCTATGATGGGAAGTATTCAGAGTGTTCAGGGATTAAGTCCTCACTTTGTTATCTACCTAAGCTGTGGGTATCGGACCTATTACTTAAGCAATCTAAGTCTCAGTTTTCCCATCTGTTTTTGCAGAACTGTATAAGAGGAATACTTGAGATAACAAATATGAAAGAAACAAGGATGGTGACAGACACATAGCAGGAGCACAATAAAATGCTAGTTCATAAAAGGAAAAAGGGCAATACAGTCAGCTGGAGACCTGTAAAATCTAATCTGGCTGAACTTGTCTATGTGACCATTTTCTCCTAAGAGACAGAAGTCAGCACGTAGTTCTTAGTTATAGCTGTGGAGAAGTAAAAAATCAAGACAGAAAACAGAAGAAAGTGAGGAAAAATAAAAATAGATTTATAAAGGTGAGGATGGGGTCAAGAAGAGTATATTTTACTCATAATCACACATCTTTTAAGGTCAATGAAGTTTTTAAAAGATAATACTATATAGAATATCTACTTGACCTGAGGGTAGGGAAAGTCTTAAAACAAGACACAAAAAGCACTAACCAGAAAGAAAAGACCAATAAATTTGACTCCATTAAAATTAAGAACTTCGGTTCATTTAAAGAGACTGTAAAGAGAGTGAAAAGGCAAACCACAGAATGGAAGAAGGCATTTTGCAACATACACACATGACAAAGGATTTGGTTCCAGAGTAAATAATGAATTTCTAAATAGCAATAAAAGACACATGGCCTGATTAAAAAAATAATAATGGACTTGAACAGGAACTTCACAAATGAAGAAACTCAAATAGCCAACAAATACATGAAAAGCTGTTCCACTTGATAATTAATCAGGCAGATGCAAAGTTTACCAGATCAGCTAATTTGAAAAGCTAACAAGACAGAGCTCAAAGACAGAGTTGGAGTGGACAAGAGGCAATGTGAACTATCATATATGAGTGGAGGGAATCTAACCTGATACAACACTTTAGAAAAGTTTCACTGGTATGCAGTAAAACCGAAAACATGCATAACCTTGTGACTAGGGAGACCATACAACGCATCATCCAAATCCAGATATTTTTGAGAATTAAGGGTGTTATATTAATGGTTACACTAGGACAACAGGCTTAAGCCATGATAAATGGTCACCCTACCTATGAACCAGCAATTCCAACTCCTAGGTGTGCAACTTAGAAAAACACATACACATGTGCACCAGATGACTGGTATGGGAACACTCATAGCAGCTTTGTTCACAATTTCCCCAAACCAGGAAAAACTCAAACATCTAGCAACAATGGAATGGATAATACAAAAGTTGTACAGGACAGTGAGAGTCCTATAAAAAGATGCTTAAAGGTGCTTTGGAAATGCAAATTAAAGCATTATAAGAAATTTCCCTCCATCACACTTCTCCCATCATGTATCATTTACTATTCTACAAGCAAATTAATTACCCCTACAGCTCACAACATCCCTACTTTCATAAAACAATTTCTTTTTCTCTCACTTTATACTAATACAGGCATCTGTATACAGGAAAACTGAAGGTATTTTGCAAAGAACTATCTAAAAGACTGAAAAGCCATCTGTTAGGAATCCTGGCATTTAACAAAATCAGGTTAGTAAAATCTTCTTCCAACCAGTATTAGAAAGTCATGAAAGTTTCTGAAGTACATTAAAATTATTTATCAAACTTTCTCAACCATCTTCCAATACTCACTCTATTTGCTTTCCTTCACGTTCTGCCTCACATCTGACAGTTTCCACCTTATCTTCACAAATAGCTCGAGAGAAACATTTGGTATAACGGCAATGACACAATATCCACTCTACTGAGTCCTGGGTATGGCTGGGAGGCAAACTTCTACTGACCAGCCAGTCATTCCCTTTAGTTCCTCTTTTAATGTTAAAACCTTCCTCTGTCTCTATCTTTTCTTTTCTTTTTAACCATCCCTTCACCACCCCCAACTTTCAACTGTAAGTAGAAGTTCACAGGTAAAAATCATATCCTTTACTAAAACATGTAATGTTAATCTTTCCTTCTTAAAAACATAAAAAGACTGTCCCAATTCATTTTGATACAGGTGTAAAGAATTTATCAGTAGCAAAAGAATGGGGTGTTTTATTTCAGGGCTACCCCAGAAAATCTAGGGTACACAAGTAAGACAGAAAGAGTGCACTTTACTCATAGTCATACCAAAAACAAACTAATGACACACACACCTTTTTTTGAGTGTCACAGAACTAACTCTATCCCACCGTTACTAATTCCCATATGCTACTTCCACCTCCTATCCATAATGAAAGAGTGTTCATATACTCTTTACCTTGAATTTCCTGGTACCTCCACCCCAAACATACCTGGTTCATTGGTTTCTTTAGCATATCCCAAAACCCCCTCCCATCTGCAGGGTTTAAACTCCTTCACCAGGGATTTGTAGCCCCTCCTCTGCCTTTACCCGCAGTCTCCCAGCACTCCTTGCACTCTGCTATACCAAAGTCTCCCTGAGACAGACACCCTGCTCCTCTTCTCCTGCCCCACCTTCAAGACTCCAGCTCAGGTTTCACCAAAGAAATCCAGCCTATCAAACAACCCTGTCTCCCAAACTAACACCTTTCTTTTCCCCATCCTCACTCCTGATGCAGTCCCCCAAATTACATTCACCCAGACCTATTGCCCAACCCCACTCCTCTTTCTTCACACCTCTGCCTCTTCTCACTCTCCTGAATCCCCCATCCCCATGAGATTTTCTGCCATAAGTATATTTTACAAGTTTTAAGTAGCCTCCCTTCACATTTATGTCAGCTCTGCTGCCTTACCATCTTTCTGAGATTCTCCCAAGCATATCCATACCACCCTGCCATGTTTTTTTTAATGCTTCATATACTCCAAAGCTAGCAAACCTTTCTATTCCAACATGCCAATTCATTCCAACACCTGCCCACCACAGCAACTGTACCAGCTCTTCACATTCCCTCAATACTTCTCCCAATCCAGTGTTTACTCTGCGTTGCTCTCTCAACTCCACTCCATATCCACCACACCCAAACCCACTTTTACTCTGGCCTCAGATAACTGCAATCTCACCCTTCTGCACCATTTCACCTGCCCTCACATAATAGCCCTCGGTCTCCTTTCCACATCTCCAATACTGCACTTCTTCATACTCTCCCTTCTGCACCTGCTTGCACACCTCCACTTTCCCCTCCCAACCACTCCCTCACCAGTCCTTCCCAAGCAGTAGCCGCGCCCCCGCTCGGTTCCTACCAAGTCACTCCCACTCAGAAAACCCCTCCAAGCCCCCGCCTACCGACCACCGGAGCCCCACCCCCACTCTGATATTGCCCCGCCCACTCTACCTTAGAGCCCCGCCCCTTGCCCTGGAGGCCCCGCTGAGGGGCGGGGACTGTTCCCCCTCCCCTTTCCCCCGCCCCCTACCGTCACGCTCAGGGGCAGCCTGACCCCAAGCGGCCCCGTGGTGACCCTCCCGCACAGGCCTGTGGGAGGGGCATAAGTACCCTTCTTCCCCTCCTTCCGGCCCCCTCCCGCTCAGTCTCCACCCCCTGGGAACGCGAGGAGTGGGTGACAGACCTGGCCACACGCCACTACCACCGCGCCTGCCGGGGGCGCTGCCGCTGCCTGAGAAAGAAGCTGCGGCTGCCGCCTGGAGGAGGTACCGTCGCCTCCGCCACCGCTGCCGCCGCCGCCAGGGATAGGAGCTAAGCCGCCGCCATTTTGTGTCCCCCTGTTGTTGTCGTTGACATGAATCCGACATGACACTGATTACAGCCCAATGGAGTCTCATTAAACCCGGGCCGTAGCTCCGCCCCTGCGCTGTTCCATTGGACGAGCCCGTCGACACTTAAGGCCACTCGTTGGCTTACGGGTCTGTCCGTCACCCATACACTAACCATTCTGCAGCCCATTGGGGCAGGTTCCTGCCAGTCATCTCGCCTCCGCATAGACACACCCCTCGACCCAGCATCCCCCCCTCCGGCACCACCCCGGGGGAGGGCTCACAGCCAGTACCGATCGACAGACCTCCGGGCCCGCCTCTTCTGGGCACTTATTGGTCCAGCCTTTTTTCTCTCTCCAAGACACCACGCCACCTCTACTTCCACCTACCCGCCCCCTCTACCTCTAGAAATGGATTGGGTCTACTCGCAGGAAAGGCACTTGGCTTTATTGGCTGCAAGACAACGCCAATCAGGCGGCTTTTCCCCTCTCCCCCCCCCCACTCAACCCCAAACCCCCTAGCCCGCAGCTAAAGTTTGTGTGAGAGCTGATCGCTGGCGGCGGCCGCAGGATTTAGGGGTGGGCGCGGGCGGGCGCGCGCGGGCGGGCACGCGAAGTTAAAATTCGAGGTTCTCAATCGTCAGCTCCTGCGGTGGAGCGCGCGGACGGGCGCGCCGCCCGGAGCGTTCCATCCCGCCCCCTCCTCCACCCTACCCCGTCCCGTCCCGGGCGACTAGTCGCCCGCCCCCTGGCTCGCATCCTTACCCCCCACACATCCCCTAACCTGCAAGCCCCAGGCCGAATGCAGGCAGGGCGATATCGCTGCAGCCTCCTTACCATCCCATGCCGAAGGGGAGCAAGCGCCTACCCGCCGGGCGTGCACCCCCCGGCTCCACACTCGCCCGTGTCTGCAAGCACGTGCACCGTTCGCCGCTGCCTCCAGCCACCCCGGTCCCCGGCTAACCTCGCCTGCAGCCCGGCCAATCGTTTGCTGCCCTTTGTTGCTGCAGCCTGGGTCTCCCCGCTGCCTTCCTCAGCCTCCGCCTCGTTCTTTGCCAGCCGCCCGGGTCCGCAGCGCCGCGCTCCCCCCGCCCGGGACCCACCGCCGCCGCCTCCTTCTCCTCCTCCGCCTCCTCCTCCTCGTCTCGGGGCTGCAGCGCACAGAGCCCGAGGCAGCGCCGCCCAGCCCCGCTCCCCCCGCGCCGCCAGCTAGCCCGCCCGGCCCGGCCGGGGGCGCAGCCTGGACCCCGCCCGCCCCAGTCCCCGCCCCAGGGGTACCTGCCTCGCCCTGGGGGGCTCCGCTCACCGCCCCGAGGGCGGGGATGCCGGTGTCCGCGAGAGGATGGGGACGCCTGGGCCGTTTGGGGCGGGGAGTGTGCTCGCCAGGGCTGGGACTGTGAGGTGCGGTCCTCGCCAACGCGCCCCCCCTCCCGCTGTTGTGGGCCCCAAACTTCTTCCGACTGGGCCTTGCACCCTCGGGCGATCGCGGCAGTTTTGGGGTAGGGGATGCCTCGGAAGCTGTCTCTACCCTGATCTGGAGGAAGAGGGAGCAGTGACATTCAGCGACTGCGGACAGGGCACGGCAGCGGCATCCTTGGGTGGGAGTGGGGATGTCAGACGTGGGCTGGAGGGGGAAGCTGCCCCTCAAGATGCTCTCTCCTGGCCTGCGAGGAGCCGGAGAGCTCTGAGCTGTGTTCTAAGTGCTTCCTAGGGCGATGCAGCAGGATGGCAGAGGTGCAGGGGGAGCCGGGGGAAGATCGCTGGGGGGCCCTTCCCCCTCTCCTGTAGCCAGCACTCGAAGGAAGGCTGATGGCGAAGGTCGGTTTTCCAAGCTTCCCCTGGGCCCCCAGAGTTCCTGAGGCCCACATGGGGGAGGCTGGGGGCTCCTCTGGCCGCCCAGGCAAGGCCACTGTGACGCTGCCCACATGCCTCCCAGCGCCCTCCAGACTCTGAAGAGTTTTTCCCCGGAGATGGGTGGGATGATGGCAGGGGAGACTTAAGAAAATAAGAAAAGTAGACTCGAGGAATGGCTCCTACAGAGTTTGAGTACGAAGTTTCCCTTCCCTGGCGCCATTTCTTTGAGAGAGAAAAACTATGGCTTTGTAAATTAACCAAGTTTTAGGCGTGGTGGCCTGGGTGGAAAACCACCTGTTGACTGAAGCCTGTCCCTGGAGTCAGGGAAATCTTGGGCCTTGGCAAGGTGATGCAAGGTGCCAGGGAGAGAAGGCCCCAGGCTTCCTGCTCGGTTGACATTCTGGCCATCCTGATGCCACTAGCACTGCAGCCACAGCACCTTCAACTCCCCTTTAGAAACCACTGTACAAACTAGGTAAGTACTTTGTTAGAGCAATTTATCTCAGACAAAACAAGCATCACAGCCTTGTCCTCAAACGCAGAGCACAGTACACACTACTTTTTAAAGATGGTCTGCTCCTTTGGGGTGTGAGCTGCCCCTGCTTATATGCTTCTTGGCAGCAAGGTGAGAAAGGAGCTAAAACAAAGGGCACAGAGTTGGATGAAAGGATAGCAAAAGGGAGAGAGAGAGCAGAAGAGTTGTAATTTTACACTGAAAACTGTCACCGGTTCCATTATAAACCCCTTTTATAGGTGTTTTATTACTTGGTTGTTAGTTTTTAAAACACAGACCTCTTTAGATTAAATCTTGGCGTTCACAGGCTCAGTCCAGGAAAGGAAAACACTGGGGAAAGATCCCCCACCAGCCATGGGCTTGGCTACTTTTGAGTTACACTACTGATAAAACAAACAAACACACAGTAGGTTGAGTTTCCTCAGAGTCTCTCTACTTATTTTATTTATTATCTTCAGTAGCTGGCTTAAGGTGAATTTTTACAAGCCATTAGTTCATAATTCCGTCTAGTTCATTTAGATATTTCAAAGAGAAGGACATTTATAAGGTGTGCTTTTTTTTTATAATGCAGGTGCTGGAATTTTTATTTTCCAAGAAGTTACTAAGTAAACTTAAGAATCCTGGCAGACACTTCAGCCTTTATGTTCTTTTTTTTTTCTCCCTATGATTTGCCCAGATGCACTTTATTTTGTGACTTAGGTTTGAGTCCCCCAGACTGCATTTTTATCTCAAGCAATAAAAGTAAACCATGTCTTAATTAAAAACAAGTTTCAAAACCCCAAATCTGTACACTCAAACTAAAGTATGCTAAAGAAGCCACTAAAAACAATAAAAACCAAAAAGTCCACATTTAAGATGTCTTCAGCCAATGAATTGTGGGAGATTTATGAACATCTAACACTCATTATCACTAATGAGTTAGCCACATGGATTTCCAGTGTATCAAGAAGTGAAGAGACACCTTAGAGAGAAATGGGACTTGTTTGCCTGAACTTGTGCTCCTGTAACCTCAGGACCTAGGAAACAGAAGAGGGAAGTGTTTTTTATCTAATATCTTGACATATCTTCTGAGATTCTTTTCTTAATAAACAAAGTTCTCTAACAGGGGCATGGCAAGGAAAAGGAATGTGTTGCTTTCCCATTGATACTTCCCTCTAAGGTTACTTGTCCTTTGAGAAACCCTGTCTCTTCAGATAAGGGGAACTGGAAAGGATAGCAGAGACACAGCCAGAGATACTTAATGCTCCCTCCTAAACCTCTCTTATCTGTGGTATCTCAAGTCCTCTGCTGAGCCAAACAGCTCAATTAAGAAGTTAACCTAGAAATAACTTGAATTAAAAACAGCATTGTGCAAAATTTGCAAGCTGACTGTGCAATTATGATTTCAGGGGCCTCATCTGACCAGTCCTCCTTCTTCCCCTAAAACATCTACCAACTTCCACGACTGGCCATAGCAACTGAAAATTACAGTTATACTGCTTGGTTCACAGATCGCTGGCGTCAGAAAGATCTGGGAATGAGTGCTTAAAACAGCTTCTTTGGCCTAACCCCAGAGATTCTGATTCAGTAGGTCTGGAGTAGGGCTCCCAAATCTACATTTTTAGACCATGACTTTAGTTGAAACTTATTGTCACTGAATTTGAGAAGAACTAGCATTGGCTGAATCCTCTTCTTCCCCAGCTGCAAAGGAATGTTTCTTCTGTGAGTGTTTTAGCAAGAAGGCTATAGCCCCTAGTACTGGGACTGTTCCATGGACCTATTTGTCCTTAGTACTGAATAAGGATAAAAAAACTGCAGAGGAGCCCTGGCCGGCTGACTCAGTTGGATGGAGTGTTGCCCCACGCACCCAAAAGTTGCAGGTTTGCTTCCCAGTCAGGACACATGCCTAGGTTGTGGGTTCCATCCCAGGTTGGGGCACATGTGGGAGGCAACCAATCAATGTTTCTCTATCACATCAATGTTTCTCAAATCAGTAAACATGTCCTCAGGTGAAGATTAAAAAAAATGCAGAGGAGCTGAAGGGAATCTGGAGGGTATCATTTTTGGGGTCTTCACTTGCTTCAAAGCAAGTCAGAAAAACAGCCAAATAAAAGATATCACATCCACAGATGCACTAACAAGTCCTTCTGAAGGAAATTGGGTAGGGAGACAGGGACCCTTAACTGATTTGTTCAGGCCTCAGTCCATGATGAATTCTATTACATTCAATTAGTTAAAAAAAAACATTGGCCTACACCCCCACCTCCTTTCCAACTGCCACATGGAATCCTCTCTCCTCATTGACTGGAAACCGTATCCCCACGACATCACAGTGTCTGGTTACATCACTCAGTGGCAGAGGGGGTGGAAGGTGATCAGTAAAGCTACTCGTTTTAGATAGGGTAGCAAGTCCAAGCGATAACTTTGTGTATGACGGTCTGTATTAAATACAGGTAGTCTGACCTTTCATATCTTTTAAATGCACACTCCTTAGTCTACCTGTAAGGCCGTGCACATCTGCATCCAGTCAACATATCCTCTCTGGCTTCTGCCAGCCCACCTCACTCCTCTATGCCCAGCACACACTTCCCTCAGCAGCCATGCCCACCCTTTCTACCTTATCTGATGGAGAACTTCAAGAAGGATTCCTCCAAATCCTTGCTTGGCTTCTGCATCCTCTGTGACATTTTCCTGGTCTTTGCATGGAGCCC